ATAAATGAAAGGGATGAGGGGGTGGAGGAGAGAGAATAAATGAAAGGGATGAGGGGGTGGAGGAGAGAGAATAAATGAAAGGGATGAGGGGTGGAGGAGAGAGAATAAATGAAAGGGATGAGGGGTGGAGGAGAGAGAATAAATGAAAGGGATGAGTGGTGGAGGAGAGAGAATAAATGAAAGGGATGAGGGGTGGAGGAGAGAGAATAAATGAAAGGGATGAGGGGTGGAGGAGAGAGAATAAATGAAAGGGATGAGGGGTGGAGGAGAGAGAATAAATGAAAGGGATGAGGGGTGGAGGAGAGAGAATAAATGAAAGATAGAGAGAGTTTGGGCATTTCCCAGTCCGCCTCACTGATACCTGTTAATCTCACCCTCAGGGCACACACACACACACACACACACACACACACACACACACACACACACACACACACACACACACACACACACACACACACACACACACACACACACACACACACACACACAGGACAGGAGGCGTTGATTCTCACCATTCCCAGGAGACAGTGGGTATTCAGCCATGCTAATTAATTTGGAGCTGCCTTACTCAAGAAAGCAACAAAGAGACCATGTTTGTATGTGGCTTTGTTAACTCAATGCTTTTTTTTTTTTTTATGTATTTTTACATCGTTTGCAAACTGATATGTGACACGTATTAATGGAAAAATAACATGCAAAACAGGCAACCCCCCCAAAAAAGTATTATTCTTTATTCTTTATTTATTTTTAGCTAAAAATGTGGGGCTCAAAACAGGCAGGGCTCTGCCTCACCTGCCCTCACTCCTTGGTGTTTATGTCCGTGTGCATGGGTGTGTGTGTGTGTGTGTGTGTGAGTGTGCGTGCATGGGTGTGTGTGTGTGTGCGTGCGTGCATGTGTGTGTGTGAGTGTGCGTGCATGGGTGTGTGTGTGTGAGTGTGCGTGCATGGGTGTGTGTGTGTGTGTGTGTGTGAGTGTGCGTGCATGGGTGTGTGTGTGTGTGCGTGCGTGCATGTGTGTTGTGTGTGTGTGAGTGTGCGTGCGTGCATGGGTGTTGTGTGTGTGTGTGTGTGTGTGAGTGTGCGTGCGTGCATGTGTGTTGTGTGTGTGTGTGTGAGTGTGCGTGCATGGGGGTGTGTGTGTGTGTGTGAGTGTGCGTGCATGGGTGTGTGTGTGTGTGCGTGCGTGCATGTGTGTTGTGTGTGTGTGTGTGTGTGTGTGTGTGTGAGTGTGCGTGCGTGCATGGGTGTTGTGTGTGTGTGTGTGAGTGTGCGTGCGTTTGTGTGTGACTCAGGTAGTGCAGCAGCCCAAACAAAAACTTGACAGGGACACTGATTGGACACTGGTTTTCAAACTTTTCTTGCCTCCGCCCAGGCAAACCGGCAACCCAGGGACCCCCATCACATGTTAGCAAAACAAATTTGATCACGTTTTGTCTTGTCATCAGGTGAATGATAACGGCTAGTAGAAGTAATCAAATTTTTAAGATGAATAGACAGTTTCATTATTTTGACCTCCCCACAGTTCATTGGAAGAGGAAGTGTCGACTCTAACATATTATATTATCTAGAACTGTATCTTAGCAGTGTAGAGAAACATTTTCTGCAATTCTACACAGTTTGGCATGAAGCCGTTGAGCAGATCCTGGCTGGCTCCTGGCTGGGTCCTGGCTGGCTCCTGGCTGGCTCCTGGCTGGGTCCTGGCTGGGTCCTGGCTGACTGAGATACCACAGTAGGTACTGTAGCAAAGTCATTAAACAACATTGCACCAACATCATGAAAAAAGACGACTTTACCTGGTTGTAATCTAATCTGGTTATCTGACGTCTCTACACTACTTGCACAAAACCAGTATACAACCAGAAAATGTGTGTGACGAGTACTGAGTATACGAAGAGGCAGGACGCAGACGCAGGAATCAACAAGGTCAAGGTTTACTTAAACAATGACAAAGAGAAATAACAAAGAGAGAGTAAACGACACAAAGCTTAACAATCACACACAACATCATCCAGAACAGTCCAGGGCTAAATAGGGGTGGTGATGAGATGGTGAGGTGCAGGTGCGCTGGAGGTGATTAGGGTGCGTTGGGTTTCCATTCCTGTGTTTGCCGAGGTGGTGCGCTCAGACCGGTGGCTCAGTAGACCGGCGAATCAGAGCGCCGGAGGGGAGCAACGGGAGGAGACGTGGCAAAATGAAGTGAATCTGCCGTCGCGTACCAAATTTTACACACGCAGGGCACAACCCCTCCAAACACAGTTCTACCCAGATGAACCCCTCTTGTGAGAGGAGGAACATTGCAAATCAGTAAAAGGAGCTTAGATAGAGGAGGGGAGGGAGGAGGGGAGGGGAGGAGGGGGCCCCTGGCTGTGCAAGCTGTCCCAACTCTCAATTCCCAGAAGCACAGGTTACATAAGCCAGCCAGTCACAGCGTGGTGTCTGTCTGTTCCTAGATCCTGTAATCACTGTTAACACAACAGGATGAAGACCCCCAATAGAGACACGACATGCAGACAACGTTGGTTTTTTGTCTCTTGATTTTCTTCACTGAGGACGTCTGTTACTAATGATGTTCTCATGCCAGGTTAAAGAGATAATGACCCTTTCATTTTCATTTGTTTCATCCGTTCCGATCCTGTCCTGTGATATCGTCCTGTGTTTGTATGTTCTTACATGACCTCCGTAGAGAGCCCAGTGTCATGACCTCCGTAGAGAGCCCAGTGTCATGACCTCCGTAGAGAGCCCAGTGTCATGACCTCCGTAGAGAGCCCAGTGTCATGACCTCCGTAGAGAGCCCAGTGTCATGACCTCCGTAGAGAGCCCAGTGTCATGACCTCCGTAGAGAGCCCAGTGTCATGACCTCCGTAGAGAGCCCAGTGTCATGACCTCCGTAGAGAGCCCAGTGTCATCGTCCTACTACTAGAGAAGTGCCCACAGCAGGCAGATCAGTCCTGTGTAGGCTCTAGAACCATGTCTCTCTCTCTCTCTCTGTAAATTAAACAGATTTGTTTCATAGTGTTAAATAAAGCCAGTATCAAGCGGCAGTAATCTTGGTGCCAGGGGGAAGAGCCTTGTGGTGAGATGTAAAGGATTTAAAGGCTTTTTCTGCTCTTGTAGTCTATGAATCTGGTCCTGCTGTATTGTGTCTGGAAATTTTCTGAGAAGAAGAGGCTTTATGGTCTTTAAACGTACTGCCGTGTCATAATTAGGATTACATTTCATTCCACTGTCACCATCATCACGAACACAAATAGCCTACATTACTATGGAGAATTTTTACAAATCGCCTTTTTGAAAATGTCTGTCTGCGATGTCCTGTGTAGGCTAGCTTTTGAAATTTCTCAAAAATATTACTGGCTTCCCCTCTATGGCAGTTGTGTGTGCTGAACATGGCCTGGCATGGCTTTAGTCCAGAGTCAACGAGCCGGGGGAGATGTGATTAATACAGAGTTAAAGCAACACAAACCCCAACATTCAGATTACAGCAGGAAACAACAGGATTAGTGTTATCCTCTGAGCTGGACTCATTCACTAATTTGACGGAGAATTTTCCCTATTTAGATTGATTTCACTCTCCATGGATCGGCACCGGGCCCTGGTATGATCAATGGTTTCATA